CCACTAAAGAATGAGGTGTGTCAAAATATACCAGTAAATAGACACGTTCAAGTGAGAAATACAGAGGGTAACTGTAAGGCATGACTCCATGTGTGTAAGAAAATGAAGTAACATACACGATCCCAGGAATGAATGTGACTGTACTGTCTACCTAGAATGGACCGATAAATAAAAAAAAAGAACAGAAAGTAACTTATGTACATTCAGAGCTTGTATGTGTGTGTAGGCGATATTTAAGATATTTCCCGAGTTCGAAGGACTTGGACAAGCCTCATGTAAGAGCCTTATATATTGCAGTTCATACCTTTCTGTAGTTTTTGTCTTTTTTTTTTTTTTACTACTATGAGCATATACTGTTTTTGCAGTAAAGACTGTGCAGTTGAAGATTTGGAACTATAATGTAAGGAGATTTATGAGTGAGGGAGCCAGGCACCAACAGGAAGGGGTAACACAGAAAAGGACCTTTCTGCCTGTAGAGTTGTGTACTTTGTATGTCGACCAGTGAGTGTTTGCACACACACTCTCTCTCTCTCTGTCTCTCTTCCTCCCTCCCTCCCTTCCTTCCTTTCTTTTTTTCGCTTCTTCCTCTTCTTCAACATTTATTTTCCTTTTTAAAGTTTTCTGTTTCAGTTGTTTGTTTTTGGTGTACGTTTGCAGTAGTAATAAACGCAGTGATCGCTTTCCCTGTGGGGATTGGTACATGTACATGACACATCTTTTCTTTTGTCATTCTCCCTTCCTCCGTTTCTTTCTTTTTTTAATTGAGTTTATTGGTACAGTTTAGGTACACAGTGCGGTTCCATTCATCATTGGATCTTGTACCTTTACATGATGTGTCTTGGTTCTCATTTTTCCCCATTCCCCTGCCCTCCCTTCACCCCCTCCTCCTTTCCCTATTTACAGAGACTTTGTTTCCATGTTTTCCTTACCTTCCTCCATTTCTTGATCCCCTTCCCAATTAAGAAAGATCTTTGTCTCTGTTTCCTAGTATCTATCTTTATTTTGCACTTTATTTGTAAATAAAGTATGGGTTTCTCATACAAGACAAACCATGTGATATCTAAGCTTGTGCGTCATCACCATTCTGCTCTCGAGAGCTCCCTTCTCAGGGACACAGACTCAAAGTAGTTGGGAGTGAAGACCGTGTGTCACCTCCTCCCGCTGTGTCTGTGCCCTGCAAGCCTCGCCCCCGAGGCTGAACCTCAGGAGGAGAAGGGACAGGAAATGTGTCCCTCACTCCAGAATATTTCAGGATTTCTCCTACTTCCAAGTGATCAGTTTCCCCCACGAATAGGAGGGCCATCTAGGGAGCCCCTTCCCTGAAAGTCAGTGTTGGGCAGCGGTTAAGAAATAGAATGGGGCCAAAGTACAGGGCTCAGAATGCAGGTCCACCATGGTCAAGTGTTTGATCTTTCCACTTGCTTACTTGATGTTTCCTTGCCTGAAAAATGGCAGTAATAGTACCCATCACACAGCGTTGTTGTGAGAATTAGAGTTGTTACTATGAGTAACGAGGTAGGGACAGTGCCTGCATAAAATAAGTTCTGTAAAAATCTTTTAACAGTGTAATTGCAGTATATATGCACTGATTTAGATTTACAGTAGTATTCGAGAGTTCGCTATCATAGTACTTTGTTCTTTTTCTGTGTAATGTTCCTTTTTTCTCTCTGCCTGCATTTCAGATTTTCTCTTTCCTACTGGTTTTAAACAATTTGATTACAATATGCCTTGGGTTTTTGTAGTTGCTTTCCAAGCTTCTTGTGCCCATTGATCTTAGATCTGTAGGTTTATAATTTTTATCAGGTTGGGCTGAATTTTGGCTACAATTCTGTCATATATATCTGTCTTTTTTCCTAATCTTCATCCACTCCCTCCTTTGGGGATTGGAGTTTCATGTTTTAGTATTATTCTGTATTACACTGATACTATTTCTCTATCTGCTTTTAATTTTTTTCCTTCTGTTTTATTTTGGAGAGTTTCAGTTGTCAGGTCTTTGTTACTAATCTTTCCTTCTGCTGGAAGTCCCATCATAGATGTGCGTGCGTGCTTGCGTGTGTGTGAATCACATTGATAATTTCATCAGTGGGTCTCAGAATTGTTAGGTTCCTTGCGTCCTTTCCATACCTTGACGTGGCCAGCCTTTCTTTGGGTCTTGAATGTAAGGAATTCCCTCCTAAGAACAATTTTGATGCCTTTGTCTGCTTACTGTCTCTTGTCATTTCAAAGTCCATTTCAGTTGATTGCTTTCTTCTCATTGTTGTGTTTTTGAGCTGCTCCGTTTTCAATGTGGTCCTGGGAACAAGACTCACTGTCACACGCATGTGCACGAGTGCTGTGCGCCTGAGCTGCGTCCCTACCCATCGTGATTCTTTTTCATTGGATGCTGGACTTGGTGAATTTTGTCTTACCAGGGGCTGGATGTTTGGAGGGGCGTGAGATACTCTTACACTGTTAGAGATACTGACTCGGGCACCCTTTCCGTTGGTCCTTAGCTCCAGGCTCTGGGCCCCTCCCTGCCTGCGCGGGGGCCTCCTCCCCACCCACCGTCTGAGCAGCCCTGAGTCCTGTCCTGCTGCGGAGCTCCCGGACTGCGGTGCTGTCAGGCCCACGTTCCTTTGCGCAGGTGTGGTCAGGCTCCCTGCACTTGGCGTGGGCTCCACGAAGGCTGTCTCTTGTGTTTCGTGTGCTGCTAAGTCTCGGGCCTAGAACAACTCCCAGGCACGTTCTAGGCCCTCAGTGAATATCTGTTTAATAAATAAGCAAATGAGTTCCAGATACTGAGTTGGGTTCCTTCCAAACGGCATCCTGTGATGTCCCTGCCTTAGGAGTTAGAGAACACTAGGAATTTGCCAGGAGAGGAAAGTGAGAAAAGGGCTTTTTATATTTCAGAGACAATAGATGTCAGAAAATTAAAATGATTTTTTTAAAAAGTCTGTTGTGATAATTCAGAAAAATAGGGTTTATTAAATTAACTTCATTTCTTACTTCACCTTGCCGTGGAAATCCTGCTTAACTGACTTCCTTTCTAAGATGTTTTCCCAGAATTGAGAAGAGAAAGCTGTGCTAGGTATAGCACAGCTGTGCTAGGTATACTGTGTATTTTCTCAGTGCTAACGTGATAAAGCATAAAAGTTTGAGATAAGCTGTCCTTTGTGTCCGAGTAACACCCACCCCTCTGCTTCCCTCTGTGGGACTTAGCCATGGAAGCCTCTGGTAGGGCGCAGGAAGGAGGTTTCTCCAGCAGACCCTGCGCAGGGCCTGCAGGAAGGAGTGGCTTAAAGGTCCCTAGGTTACCGAGTCTTCGCAGCCTTCCCTGTGCGGTAGATTTCACTGCACGTGTGCCAGTTGAAGTGCTAGCTTTTGTGACGAAGCTTTAAACAACTAGACCAGAAGGTAGCCTCCCACGTTTCATATAATCAGCAGATAGGAACTACTTTCACTGTTACCGTAGTGTCCTGATTTAAATCAGGGAGCTGACACTGCGGAGGGGACTCTAACTGACGGACCGAGCCCCGGGGCACAGCCCTGTCGCTCTTGCTTGGTGTCTCAGGGAGCTTTTCTGATTGAATTTCGGGCAGCTCCTGAAGGAGGAGTTTCTTTGGAGAATTAATAAGCAGAATTATTTAAAATAGCAATTATTAGTTCTTAAAAATAATAGACATATCTGAGAGTCTGAAGCATCATGCTTATGTTTTGTGGAAGAAAACCTTTTCATTAATTCACAAAGAAAGGTATTTCTTTAGGGAGATTTATTGAAAAAATGAAATGTGTAAAAAACATTAAATTGATAAAAGTTTTTCTAGTTATTTAAAACCAGGTTACTTAAAGCCAGTCATGCACTGAAAGATTTTGCTTCTGCTTCAGAGAAGTACAAAAATGGAAACATTTTTAATGTAGGTGTTATGTTTAGTAACATAATTCTTCAAATAGTAATGTTTATATATAACAAAGATATAGAATCATACGGATCTATTTTAACTGACTGTGTAACCTTATTTATGTTCAGCTGGACTAGTTCTTATTTTTAGGCTTAAAGTAAGCATTTTTAAATCCTCTAGTGTCATGTGACTTTACGGTTCAGTTTGTTTTTTCTAAAAGGGTAGCTGAAACCTGAAATTGGTTTTATCAAATTGCTGAACAGTACTCTTCCGTCTTGATCTTTACAAACTCTCACTAGCAAAGCAAGGGTCAGATACAAACTCTTGGACCAACAGAGCACCTGGCCTTCGGTCCTGGCCGAGCCTCCCTCCCGGCCCAACCCGAACATTGTATTTTTGTGAGCGTTTCGCAGTATTTCTCATCTCTTGTTCCCAGTCTTGACCCACTGACCCAAGAATCAGGAAAGTGTCATGTCAGTGCCTACTAATTAGTGTGCCCAGAGAGCCTGTGCATCTGGCCTCTCAACCTCCTGGAGATGGGGGCGCAAGCTGTCATCTGCATCATGTAGTGAAAATGAGGCTTTGCCACATTTTTCCCGTTTTGCAAACAGCAGAATAAGCCCAGCTGAGACTACAGATGAATATTCAGGTTAGGACGAAATTAACCTAAACTGCGCTACTCTTTGCACGATTGCGTTGCAGATGGTACTGACCGCCTTGAAACCCCATAACGGAATGTCAGGTGCCTGAGGTTTTCAGCAGATATCATAGTTGTTGTAGCGCACTTTAATTTCGGTGTCATACTGATTTTCAGTACTGATTTGATAAAATAGTTTTTAGGGGAAGAACATTCTCTGGTTAAAAAATTAAGTAGCATTTTAGTGCTTGTGAGTGTCCGTTGGTTTTAAACATGCTTTTGGAATATCCTGCTTTGTCAGTGAGGATTTGGTCTGCGAGCTCATTAATCAGTGCTGCTGGGCCAAGGTCTCCTGAGCCTTCTGGGTTTCAGGGAATCCACCGCTGTAATTAAAGGGGTGAAATACATCATGGTCACAAACTTACCACATTGGACAATTGAGGTTCTTGAACCAGTAGAATTAATCTCGTTAATTTTTTCCTTAGGTGTTTAAGATAGAAGTACTAATGAATGGAAGAAAACATTTTGTTGAAAAAAGGTACAGCGAGTTTCATGCCTTGCACAAAAAGGTAACTTGGTTTTTGTTCTTTTTCTCCTTTTCTGTATATGTTAGATGGCGTAATATTAACAACTTTCCTGTGGTTCTGGTGTTTTCTGTGTACATATAGTTTCTATTAACATGACATAAATTGTTTTTAAAAGCAGATTGTTAGTCGCTTAAAGGAGTGCTTTCTGTAGTAGGTGGGTTTACACACTTGTACTACTTACGTGTACAAATCTGAAGTTGCAATCTGTTTGCTGCAGATGTTATGTTCAAAGAGAATAAAATCATAGCCCTGTGTTATCCATGAAATACACTTAGTATATTTATAGAAAAAAAGGCAAATAATCATTTTATGGGAAGAAATTTATTAAACTTATACTTTTATGTTCCTGGAAAAGATAATATACAGGTAAATGTATATTCAGGAACTGGGGAACACGAGAAAGAGGCTGATGGCTGGTAGCTTTCTTTTGATGTTTCAGTTCTAGGACACATTTCACTAAAATGTTAGCTAAAAGAAGCCAGAAACTCAAAAATAATAACTGAGTTATAGGGAGAAATGAACAGGTAATTGAATACTTTATCATCTACCCCAATTTTTTAAACAGTTTATAAATTATTATTAGGGAGGTAAAAATTATCTTAATAGCTAGAAATACTTCATAAAATTTCCCAGAAAATCACTAGGTATGAGTCAGTCCAATTTTATTATTTTTTCTTTCATGTATTTGTGATATGCATGGACATATTATACTCCCATACACATGAAAGATACATATGAAATAAATATGCACAACACATGATGTGACTCAATTTCATTTCCTTTGTTAAATAAGAAATCAGATAGTTTGATAGTATGTATGTAAAGTATATTAGGAAAATCTTTCCCCTTAATTTGATCAAAGGCCTCTTAAATTTTCTGAGAAATATTAAGTATATAGTAAATATTAAGTATTAATATAATACTTATTAATTATAGTTAATATAACTAATAGTAAGTATACTACTATAGCAAATATTAATTATATTTGTATATAAATAACCTAGTCATGTACTAGCTCTGTATTATAAGTCCTTTAGCTTTTTGGGGGGGGTTTTTTGGCTTTTTTTTTGTTTTTTGGGGTCTCACTATGTAGGTGAGACTGACCTGGAACTCACTATGTAGCCTAGCCTGGTGTCAGACTCACAGCGATCCTCCTGCCTCAGCCTCCCAAGTGCTAGGATTACACGCGTGCGCCACCATGCCTGGCTCTTTAGTATTTTTTAAACTAAGTTTTCTTACCTTATAATCAGGAGATTAGAGAATTGCACATGAACTTTTCCAGGATTATTACAGGCAGACTCATGAGCTGTTACCCTGCATTTCTGTCAGGAAGGCAAGAGATTATTCGCACTTAACTCTCCAGTAAGATTCTTTGCAAGCCTAGGTTTACTTCCAAAGGAAGCAATACAGGTGAATACAGACTTAGGCAAGTGTTGCCCTTATACTATACAAAAGCACCAACCCCAGGGACTCAGGAAGAAGCAAGACCCAGAATCCCAGTCTCACTTACTTCTCTTGGAATTTTGTTTTGTTTTGGAGGAAACATTTTCTAGACAGGTTTCTGCTGGGTACCTGATGAAACAAATTCCTGCAGGGAGACTTAAGACCTGCTCTGCTCTACTTGTGCCCAGCAGTCTAGACTGGGCAGCCTGTCCTGTGCAGGGCCCTTCCCGACCTCTGGCTGAGGACCTGCTGCAGCAGCCCTGCTGTCCTGGGACACTGGGAGGCCGCACCCCACAGGCGCAGCGGGGTAACTGCAGGTCAGGCCTGTCCTGAGCTGCCCTGATGCCTGGATGGAGTCTCTCACACACCCTTTTTTTTCTCTTCTCCAGAGTGACTGGCGTTCCCCCCTCAGCACAGGCAGCTGTCGGTCAGCATGGCTGAAAACATTCCTGGGTTTCCTAGGACTTGCTCTTTTCTTAATTTCTGCAGTTCTGTTAATGAGTCGAGCAGTCTTACAATTATATAATGAGGTCTTTAAGAATTCATAGAGTAAAATTTCTTGCATTTATCAGTTTTGCATAGTTTTAGCAGTTTTGTTAAACTATTTGAAACATCCTTAAAGGAGCATAGAGATAAAAATAGCTCTAGGGAGCAGTTTTTGTTGGGCTGCGTTTTCAAATCTTCTGCCTTTTGGAGGGAATAGCCACTGTTAGAAGACTTCTTTACTTCCTCCACTGTGACTGTGTTACGGTTGGCAAAAGGTAACTATAAAAGGCAGTTCAATAGAGGCAATAGTAAGATGTAAACATAAACTGCGCTGTAGACTGCGACTGTAAAATTGTGTGCAAAGAAGGATTGAGATGGGTAAAATATCATACTGAACACAGACTTTTCTGATTATCACTGTCCTGTTGTGAGCCTTATCCTTTTTCTACAATTTTGTTTCTTTCAATTTCCATATTTGAATTTTGTGACAGGCTATGAATGTTAATGTTGTGACAAATGTTTTCCTTTTAGATGTAGTTAAATCTGTTGTCACCTAGTTTTCTGGAAACAATCAGCTATTTCTACAGTGTCCACAGTTTTTTTGTGGCCTGTCCTGATCTTTCTTGCGTTCTGCATTATAGCTCTCATTTGCTAATGGTGTTTAGCCAGTGTCCCCAAGTCCATGCTAAAATAACACATGAACTGTTAGCGAGTGCCTTGCACCACTGGGATGATGGACGCATGACTCCTCTCTGTGTGCTATGCACACACAAAACTCTCCCAGCTGATTGTCGCTACTCATTTTGAGGCAAAATAAAACTATCTCCTATTCAACATTGTGAAGAAAGTCCATAATAATTCTATGAACTAAACTTTTGTAGTTAAGAATATTACAGGGGCTTGGGATTTAGCTCAGTGGCACTGCGCACACCTGCCTCGCAAGCACATGAGTTCAATCCCCAGTACCAAAAAAAAAAAAAAAAAAAAAAAAAAAAAAAAAAAATATTTTTAACACTTTTTTT